AATTCTGAAAAATTCGATCAATTTTGCTTATGTTTGAATGCACTATTTATTCCAGAAAATTATGCTGTCCGTGTTGTACATCCAAAATAGAATAACTGCAACAGCGAAAGACATAGTTATAAATAGACAAAAAAGCAGTTAACAGAAGCCACTCAAAGTTCAGAAGCTATTTAAAAGTTTTCGCGCACTTTTGCACCGTTGATAAAATGCAGCAAAAACGCAGGTTGTCGAGAAGTTATCGACGTGTGTGTGAGTGCTTGTTTATAAGTCTGTATGTATGTGTTTGTTTCTGCTCGAATTTAGCTCCCACTTTCAAATCTGCAACCCGAGAAGCCAAGAAGCCAAAATTTTGTGAGAATATTTCCAGCCCACGTGTGACCTCCATAAACGGAAAAGCAGCTCTCACTTGCCTCTACGTATTACGTATGAATACTTGAAATCGAAGTTGAAAATGCGCTAGAGAGAAATGGACTTCTGAAACCGGCAGAATAGGAGGTTGAAGTTTCACAAGGGGTTTCGGTCCACGTGTGATCTAGAAATTTTTTTTTAAAACAGCTTTTCTTAAATTTATTTTTGACGTCTAGTAAATGAATTGTATTCTGTATTTTTACATGTTATTTCAATATATTTCGAATTTGATGCTCTTTTGGTTTTTCAGTGCTTCTAAGCATCCCCAAATAACAACGCTTTTTAGCTTACTTTTTTAACGAAAATAATTTTCCTGTGAAATTTAGCGAAACTCAATCAAATGAGGAGGAAAAAGCACAAGACTGAGCAGAAACGCTTACTTCAAACCATTTTTTGCAAAAATCAACCGAATTTGGATCGGCACCATCGCCACCGCTTGAACCAGTTGGAGTTTTGCACAGAAATGGGAATAATCCAAATTGTTGTGGGATTTTTAAGTTTTTCAAATCATCTATTGAAGTCTGCGTTGAATTTGTCAATTCTCGCCATCCTGAAAACTTCCATAAAATGATTAAAATGATCAGTAAACAATGTCTTGTCAACGCAACGGTGTTTATTGTCGCAGCGCACAGCTGGTCGATTTGGAAGTGCCAGAATTAAACTCCGCCTGGAACGGCATGATTTTGACAGGACAAAAATAGTTTCAAAAGAATCGCTCATGAAAGGTGGGAGTTTGGATGCGAAAATCAGTTGATCAGGTATCTTATTCAGAAATGCTGATAACTGCGCAAGTCGGAAAACACGAAATTTTATCACTGAACTGAGCAACATCAAGTTTGGCTGATGAATCATATTATTTAATATCGGATGATTGTTAATTTACTAAAATTTGGGAACAGATAAACAGTGGGAAATCCATTTAGATTTTTCGGAGATTTTCGATTATTTGTTTTCAGCCTTCTTGCCGAAGTGCTGTTTGCATTCCGAAATGTTTTCGAAGTCACTGGATCTCTAAGAAGCTTTTTTCCGCCAGAACATCATTAAAGAACATAATGGGTTTTTCCATTTGTTCCAAAATAACTCGAATTTAGAAACAACCCCCTTCAGTCGACGTACGTAAGTACACTCCACCAACTTTGAGCTCCCTCTGTTTTCGTAGTCGTAACACACCGGAGATTACCAAACTTTTTACAAAATATTCTCTCCTTGATTCCGATAATGAGTTTTGCTTCAAGTCGATTGATTATACTGTTATTATCCCGATTGTCGTTTGTCATTTATCAGGCACTCTATGAAGAATAAAGTGTGCCCACAATATATTCTGCTCACATGGGTTATATACAATTTCCAAAAACCCATGACTCCAGGAAATGCGTCCATTCCTCCTGAATAACCTGGACGTCCTCACTCCTAGCCCCCAGTATTTTCACGTGTCGTAGTAATAGAACAAGGCGCTATATCTTCATCAGATTTTTATTGCCTAAATAGCATAAACTGTTACACACTTTAATAATTCATATTTCAGTTTTATAAAGATTGCTAATAATTTATTCACTCGATACTAAAAAGTTGTTTTGTTTAATAGCAAAGTCATGAAATAATGCAATTCTAAGATATTCTCGGGACTTGTCGGAATCCCCATCAAAAGTCGATGACTAGCTGCAGTTTACGGTTGCCATGACTCCAGTGACATATTACGAGATTAAATTTCAGAATAACTGATAAATTCACACTAGCAAGCAAAAAAGAAATCGAAAAGTACCAGGTGAAAACATGGATGCTGCTGTAAGCGCAAGTGTCACCAGCATTATAGCACCAAATATAATTTGTCCGATCGCCGAAAGGCACATTTCTTCGTGGGCATTCAATACGTGCTTGATAGCCTCAGGTCACTCACTTCCGTCACAGTAAATAATCCACAAAACTCCGGATTCTACTTGCACTAATTTACAGCTCTTTGGCAAAATAATCCACACTTGCTTCTCCTCCTCCTGCAATTACTGTTTTTCCTTTCTGAGCTATAACAGTTTTTCCACGAACTGCTAATTTTGGGTTTGACAAAAGTTTCAGTAAATTTACAAGATACATTTGACATGTGCGCAATGCATTACATACGCGCCGATTTTGAGACTTTTCACCAAACTAACTTTACTTTTAATGCATTTTTCGAGTCGAAAATAGCATGAGTAATAAATTTTGATAAGGAAAGTGCATTTAGTGATAAAAGTGTCTGTGATTGTCGCTAAAATGTCAAGAGACGATTCAAAGTCAATCAAAAGAAAATGAGCACATCTGCGCAAAGATAACCGGTATTCTTGCTTCTCTGATTAACCTCTGCACCTGAAAACAACACGGCAGTGCTATCTGCATCTTTTACAAGCGACAACCTTTGCAATTCTACCTTCGAATTGCAGTTTTAGCAATTTCAAAAGCGAAATTACCGTTTCATAACACGTGTGCTCTACCAGACACAGAATGTACTACTTTGAGAATAAGAGTGGAAACGATTAACAGTGAAAAATTACAGATTGCAAAGATCTGAGCCGGTGAAGCGGAGCATTCTTCAGCTGGTTCATGGAGGGAACATCCGTCTGGCAGTGGTGAAGATCTACTCGAGGCTCAGTGAAGAAACACCTCTTCGTGCAGTGCACATGTGAAGGAATACCAGTTTCTTAGTCTGAGTAACTTTTGGAAACGACAAGTTCACTACTACGAACTGTATATTTTTGTGCTCCGAAAATGAAATTCAGTCATGTCTAGAGAGCAGAAACCAGTATCTTCATCCTAGTTATTATCTTCGCTGGACTTTATGGTACCATATTTGTGAGCACGGGTGTGTGTGTGTGTAAGTAAGATTTAGCGGACCTTCTCTATATTCTTTAAAATTCGTGAGAAACAGTTCATCTTAATCAAACTCTTTGTTTTTTAAATTTTCATCATCCAATTTTGCGAGTTTTTTCAGCTCATCATATTTTTCTTAGAACTGATAAAGCTTTAGATGAACACCATCCCTGTCTACATTACACTGA